ACCAGACCTCCAGATCACCGCACCAGCCAGTCGAACCCAACACCGAAAGAATTTTCAGGGTTTTTGAGACGTAGTCAGGTTGAGCAATAAGTCTGATGTGATCCATGGGCTACCGTTTTCCACTGTAACAAGCTACCTGGTGCACGTGGGCCCTCAACCACTTTAATCCTGAGGGTGGCGCCCGAGATAACCGTATGATAAGAAACCGATTACCGAACTACTTTACCTCTGTACAAAAAATGCCTTTACCAGTGTTGCCAGAGGTGGTACAATTGTACCAAATTTGGTACCATTCGCTTTGAAAAAATACGCTGGTACGACGTTAGTATGTTTGATACAATTTTCATTTTTTTTTTCCAAATTCTCAAAAAGTCTTAGCCTACTGCCTACAGTCTAATGTCGATGTTTTAATTAATTTGTATTTCTGTATCTAAATTCGATATAACAATGTGTAGGCGAGCCTTTAGTTCCGGACCAAGGGATTTCGGCCTTTACTTTAATGGTACTTTTGTTATCAATTTTTTAAATATTTAAGTAGGTACTACTTTATCAAATATTTGCTTTGTTTGGTTTTCATCCTAATTTGATAATTTTGCGTTTTAAATGACATCCTAGTTTATCTCACCCATTTGGGGTTTTTGCAAACGTATACTACTTTATTGTTGTCTTTGTTTTACTCACATATAATTAACAATTAAACATTTATTCATTAAAAATTAAACTAAACACAAGTTTATTTGGGAAATTTATTGTTTTATAATCGTTATTAGAGAATTATGGCACCTGCAAATAGTGACGGTCACTAATAAAAACGTTCTTATTTTGACATTATTGACATCTACGCATGCGCATTTCTGACTAAAAATAGTGGCGGTCAATAATAAAATAAGGATCATCCTTATTTGTGATTGGATAGTGAAAGGCAGTATTTATTCCATTATTTTTAGAGACATGCGCAAATATAAATCAAATGTCAGTTGTCCAAGAATTTTTCGGATTCTAGCTTCACATAATTTGTTTATATTTTTTGTTTGTGTTTTGTGCATGGTTAAGACTGAAAAACATCATTTGCACCCCCTAGAATGGCAGTTTCTAACATTTCTTCTATTACAATTGAGTAAAAAACGCGACACTGACGCGAAAAAATGATGAAAATAGTGCCAATTGAACATGTTGTGCCATAATTCTTTTTATCCATGAGAAATAGTAACTTTCAGTAATTAAATAGGGCCGATCAGTAATAAAATCGATCACTATTTGGAAAGTGCCATAATTCTCTAATATTTAATTATTCAACAGATTTAATTAAATTAAACCATTTAAAATGTCATTAATGTCATGCGGTAACGTCGCTTTTAGTCAGCCATTTTGCAGTGACGTGTGTGTTTTTATCCAGTTTTTCCTCGGATTTTCCATTTTTCCACGGCGTTTTAAGTCGGAAAAACTGGGTAATTTAAAACTGGTTTAAAGTACGAGGCTTTGAGTTTTTTTCATTTTGTGCCAGTTTTCCAATAGGGTAAGTGACAAAAACTCAAGTCTCATCAAGCAGGTGCTGGAATGTTGTTTTTAGAGGTTTTTCTTTGGATTTTCCGTTTTTCCAAAGCTTCTTCAATTAGGAAAACCGATTCTAAATATGAGTCCTTTTTTCCCATTTTGTACCAAAAATTTCCAGTTTTCCAATGGGGTAAGTGACTAAAACTTGAGTTTCATTAAGTAGGCTTTGGAATCTCCCTTTAAGAGGTTTTTTCGGTCGAGAAAACCGATTTTAAGTACGAGGCTTTGAGTTTTCTTCATTTTATAGCACAAATTTATATTTTTAAATGCAATAATTAGGAAAATCCCATTTAAATGCTTTTTCTGGAAATTTTGATGTGGCAATATCGATTGTAGCCAACTTCAATCATGTAAACCTTGTAATAAATGTCATTTGTCAATTTGGAAAGTCGACCATTTTGAGTGTTTTTAACAATGTTTTTCCTCGAAATTTCCGCTTTTCCAGGCCGTTTTAAAACGGAAAAAATGGTTTAAAGTACAAGGCTTTGAGTTTCCTTCATTTTGTGCCAAAAATTATCAGTTTTCCAATAGGGTAAGTAACAAAAACTCAAATTTCATCAAGTAGGCTTTATGTCCTTTTCAGAGAATTTTCTTTGGATTTTCTGCTTTTCCAGGGCTTTTTGGATCGAGAAATCCGGTTTTAAGTACGAGGGTTTGAATTTTCTTCATTTTGTACCAAAAATTTCTAGTTTTCCACTGGGGTAAGTGACAAAAACTCGAGGCTCATCAAGTAGGCTTTGGAATGTTCTTTTTAGAAGTTTTTCTTCGGATTTTCCGCAGGTTATAGCTTTTTCAGTCGGGAAAACCCATTTTAGGTACGAGGCTTTGAGTTTTCTTCATTTTGTGCCAAAAATTTCCAGTTTTACAATGGGGTAGGTGAGTGACAAAAACTCAAGTTTCATCAAGTAAGCTTTGGAATGTCCTATTCAGAGGTTTTTCTTTGGATTATCCGCTTTTCCAGGCCGGAAAAACCGATTCAAAGTACGAGGCTTTGAATTTCCTTCATTTTCAGCCAAAAATTTTCAGTTTTAAATTAAAATTGAGAACGCAAAAAAAAAATCAGGAAAAAACAACTCTTTAAGGAATTTATGTAGGTATATATATATTTTTTTTTTCAGGTAGCAACACTGCTTTGTAGCCAACTTTACTCAGGTTCCAATTGACCTTTTGTTTGGACTGTAACATTTGAAATGTCACAAGAACATATTTAATTGTTCTTAATTAATTTCATATATTTGAACTCATTTAAGATTCTATTTCATACATCTGGCGACATCTTTGATTCCTCTGACTAGTTTCTTGACCTAATACCGAAAATTATATTATCAAAAGGTGGTTTCGATTTGCTCACTCCGGCACTCCGAGTAACTCCATTCACACTCCAGCCGAATCGAACTAAGGTTCTTCATAAGAAAAACCCGTAGCACTGTCATTTTTATAATTTCGACAGGCTTGACAGAGGAAAAAAAAACAACCACAGTTTGATACTTTTGGCTTTTTTTCGATTTTATAGTTAGACTGAAAAGGTCGTCTCTGGAAAATCCAAAAACATTGGTTTTCATTCTTGGCCATTAAGCCCAAAATTATATTAATTTAACTAGCCAGAGTAGTGAGTGATTATGTCAGCTGGAACGTTTCCTCAAAAATCAATAGATTGTTGATTTTTGTGTAAATTTTTGAAAGTGAGGTTAATTATCGGCCGTTCAGGTATGTTAATCTCTTTTTCCCTTTGATAAATGAGTCCTTATATTTCTTCAATCCGTTCAGGCAATTTGGGAGAGTATTAAAAATCCACGCCTACACTTCTGGGTGAAATTTGACAAGTTTGAGACCATGCGGTACTGCATTTCCAAAGCAAGTCTGGGCCCCCTCTACAAGGAAAGTTGCGTCCTGTAAGAGATTGATCCCCGACCATTGTTTGATTGCCTTCCGTCAGTTTGGTGCTCCTGGATCTCAAATTTATGAAAATTTCCAAGGATTTCGTCCAGGCTTGTATAATTACTTAACTATGGGTCCCGTAACTGTGCCTTATTAATTACTGTTACCTTATATTATCTTTTTTCTACCGCTCCCTATCTATTAGCTTTATTAGCTAATAATTATCTTTACAAATATTAATAACTGTTAATTATTATTATATTTTTCTTTATCGCTCACTATTGATTAGCTTGATTAGCTGATCAATATCTTTGTAAATATTAATTACCGACTTATTTACCGTATTGTGGCGTTTGGCTAAAATAGCTAATTGCAGTTTAATGTAATTTTTTATTGATTAATTAATTATTATCGTAATCAGATAACTACCTTTATTATCGTTTTCGTTATCTTTATCTAGTATCCAATAATTATGGATCATTGTACCTAATTATTGCAAATTTATTTCTTTTATATCGAATACTGATCGATATAATATCCATTAACTTTTAGAGGTTAATTTAACCTTTAATTTCAAATCAATAAGGTGGTAATTCTACAAGGTAAATCAATGTAAAATCTTCGGGTAGTTGAATTTGAGTTTCATGGTTACATATTTTGAATTTTAATTACAGGTAAGACGGTAGAGCTCTCCCCGATACTTCTGATTATAGGTTTTGGCATTTATAACTTCCTAGGGATTACTCATTACCTTAATGCATTTATAAATTTGATTGACTTTAGTCAAAAATTGAAGGTTAATGGTATTAGGACTTCATCATTTATACTTGGTTAAATAGAAATAATAAAATATTTACCTATTTACTTTCATCAATCAGAGACAGAAAGTTATCAAACAAAAAGGATAGCGAGAATCAATCATTTGGTTACTTTTGTTTTTAATGTTGACAGCCCGCTAGTAATTTTTGTTTTCTTCTTTTGGCAACTATGTTCGCGCACCGCAATATGGCGTCCAAACAAAAGGTCAATCCATTAGGTCTTGGAATGTTATTTCTTAAGTGACATTTGAGAAAAAAACTATGGTCACCTCCACCCTATTATAGGCTGGTACATTTTTACTGAATCTGGTACAATTTGTCTTTAATTTTTGCTCTCTGGCAACACTGGCCTTTACAAACTCAAGTTTCTTTTTTATTCCTGGCTGAGTTTTAAACTCTAAATTAAATTTGCCTCATCCAGGAACTATTACCATTGACTAACCACTTGTTTAACAAGTGGCGCCTGAACATTCAAATCGTTATTTAGTTTATTAAATACCATATTGCCGTTACACATGTTGTGTCATTATTGCGCTGGTTACGATAGGCATTTCATCACTAGCAATAATAATGAAATCGATAAGGCAATATTATTCGTGTAGAAACTTTTTCAATCTCCTTTTCGCCGTGTAATTCTTGGAAGGCGACGAGAAAAAGTTGAAATTTAATAAAGATCCTGCTGGCAAATATTTACGTCTCCGTCGCCGTTTTATTTCTATTAAAAATTATTATCATTTTTTTTATTTGCAGGAGACATCACCCAAAAAGGATACGAAAAGAAAAGGACGAGATTGCTGACCCCTTATGTGCCTAAACAAAACTCCAGTAAGTGATTTTTTTAGTTTAGTTTTTGAAACTAACAATTTGTTGCATGTTACTAAAATATTACGATTTCGGCTTGATAATTTCTAAAAATATGGTCCAGGAGTTCTTTCTACAAATCTGGTATCTGGTAAAATGTACTTGTAACACATATCAATCTCTGAACCTTTTTTACATGTAAAGCACCCCATTAAAACATGTTTTAAAGGATTTTTACTTAAATCTAATATAAGTGTTTGTTTGCTAGAATAGTTAACGTTTAAGGTAAATATTCCCTAGACTGGCAAATCTAAATAATTAATCCTCTTGCTGCATTAATTTGAATTTTTCTAGAATTTATTAAGAATAAAGTTTTGGTCAACTTTGCATAAAAATTCAAATTCGGTTATCAAAACAAAATTATTATTCCTCGAGCCCGGCCTTTCCCTAAATCTTCAGCTCAAGTTATCCGGAAACTTGATCCTTTAATAATAAAGTTAACTGCTTTAATAAAGCGTGACTTTAGCATTTCAGCTTTATTATTCAAATTTTAGAGGGTGCGTCATACCAAGAATCCAGGAATAATTTATAGCGGAAATCGTATTCTCATTACTAATCAGCTTCTTGTGTTGACGATTTCTTTGCTACAGCTAGCAACGAACCGGAAAGCGGTAGCTGTGGCGGTAGCGGTGGCGGTAGAGCTAGCGATAGAAGCGGCGGCGATAGAGCGCCTCAGCAACAAACCAGACGTCGAACTCAGCGACGCGTCACGCACAATGAAAAGCGTTACCATTCAGGTAGAGCTTAAAGTCTTTTCTATCGTTTGCTCTTTGGGGAAAAATAGTGCATGAACTAATAATTGTCAGTTGCGTTGACAAACTTGTAATATAACTGTCAGATGTCATTACGCTTGCACGTTGATTCAGCTTTGTGTCAAATTGAGTGTCAGTTGTCATTGAGATGGCTGCAAAGCTTGCATGATGATTAACTTTTGAATCAAAACTTACAATAATTATATGGAATAAAGTAGAATTAGTTCTTGGATGTCTTCTATAGCATGTAAGTAAATGTCGCTTTGCTTGCTTTGATTTATAATCATTTATTTATAATTTAAGTAAAGTTCATTTATTTCATTATCATCATTAAGCGCAATTCATACTTATACGTACCGGCAATTTTTGTAAATTCGTCTTTGCAGATTCCTGAAAAATACTTTAAGCCATTCCAGCAATTTGGAACTTTCAGGATTTATTAATTATTAGAGTTTTCTGATGGTACGAAACAAATTGAAAGTTGATATGAAACTCACAACTAAAGTTGCGAATTTTTTCATTCAAGTGGGTACTTACCTGAAAAAATAATAAAATTCCTGTGAAATCGTCTTTGAAAGTTCATGGAAAATACATTGAACCATCCCAGCAATTTGAAACTTTCAGGATTTATTAAATAGAGTTTTTTCAAGTTACAAAACAAATTGAAAGTTGATATGGAACTTATAACTAGAGTTCCACTTTTTTTTATACATTAGTATCTGAGAAAATCATTGAATTCCTGTAAAATCGTCTTTAACACATTGCATGCCGCGACAAAATAACTGCTCGACAGTGATGTTTCCATTCAGGCCACGTCGGACATACAGGGTGACAATTTGAAAAGTATAGCAATCGGGAATATCTCTTAGACAAAAAATACTATCAGGAAGACCTCAAATACATATCGGGGGATTGGAGGGGGAACTAAAATGAAGCACTTTTTGAGTCACCCCGCCTCCTCTCTAGGGGGTAGCTACCCCAGAGACCGATTCTCACCTTTGGGTTTTGAACCAGGGTTCTAAGTCGCGGGTCAAAACTCCGCGACAGATAGGAAATAATAGCATACTCATTATGTGTTCTAGTCCCAGAAGGGAAGAAGTCATGATAGTTAAGGTCATTACAGCTTTTCTAGACTTTTCCTCATTCACCTGCTTCGCGACCTGGTGCCTTTCTGGCTCTCGGGTCCTTATTCTTGAAACAGGGGAGCAACGTTCCCAGGAGAATGAGTGTTTCGTCTTTCTCAATGATATGCAAATGATAATATAAGTAACAAAGACGGAACACTCGTTATCCTGGGAACGCTGCTCCCCTGTTTCAAGAATAAAGACCAGGGCTCTGGATTCCTTAGGGATTGACCTTATCCCTGGTTCACGCAGTTTGTCGGCAGATTGATCAATCTCATTCTTATCTGGAAGTCCATTTAGGCAATCTTTCCGCTCTAAAATATCTGTGAAAGCTTGAATTTTTACTTTATATCAAAGAATACCTATTGTTTGCCCAGCGGATCTGAATCTACGGAAGAAATTCGGACGTAAATGTTCCATGTTGCCACGTTCAATTATAGAAAAGCGAAAATACTTGGCATGAAGTATAGTTAATTTTAAAATCCATTTTTTAATAACAAAATATTGATAACAATAAGAAAACGCTAAATATTTTAACGTGGTTGTTAGATCTATCCTTATTTTAATCCTGATTTCTTCAATTTGGTCTATTGTAAAAAATAAACATTTTCTAAAGATACCATCAGCTTTTGACAATTTGGCAATCATCCGTCCTGGATGAACCTGATTGGTGGAGTTTTTGGTAGGATCGCCGTTGTCATGGGGAACCATACGGTTGTCAATGAGCTAACGTCACCTTACGTCTCGCTATTGGCCAGGGCTCACGTCATTTTATCCTTCCATCTTGGAATATCGCTTTATATTGAAATATCCAGTGGCGAAGATTTAGTCATTGCTGATTTTCGTGTACGAGTTGCAATACGATAACACTTCCAAAAAGTTCCGCACGCAACTGGGTATTTTATGAATGAAATCAGCCATTTTTTTTTACAACTGCATTCCCCTTACCGTTGCCCTGTAGACACAGAGTCGCTGGGCAGTCATTACTTAGGCAAACCCATTGAATTGTTTCTTCTAAATACCTCTACATAAAGAAAATTCAAGTGCCTGGAATAGAAACAACATATATGGCGTTTCTGATTGGTAGATCTAGTGCGGAACTAGTGCATTTTTTTCTATTTCTGTCTTTTTCTTCTACAAGTCGATTAAAAGGATGCAAATACACTCAGTGCGCACTGAATCTACCAATCGGAAACGCCAATAATAGGTACTTAAGTCTACTTATCTACTCCATTTTCCCTTAATGTCTGTCTTTCAATTCTCAAATTTTTGTTTATTTCCGGCTCTTCAAGAGCCTCTTAATACATATAAGAGCCGGTTTATTCACTTTCTAATAAACTGTCAGGTAATGCAATTTGACGGATAAAAATATGTAATCCCATTGGTTAACCAATTTTCCTGTGACCAATAAGATTATAAATCTGTAAATTTATCTTGCAAATAGTTACCAGGCAGTTTATCTCAAGATGAATAAACTGAGTCTAAGATAGAGAACATTGGATGTTAGCGAATACAATTTCAATACAAAAACAGATTTGCGAAAAAGTCGTTTGATTCAAATTCATTCAAACGTTAAAAATGCTGGAGGATGTTTTCCAGCAGCAAAGGTTAGTCGATTTTAAATAAATTTACGTCGATTAACCAAAATTCGACGTCGGAAAGAGGTTGCAAAATATGACTTATTTGGCACGTCACGTAGTGGACTTTCATTTGACCATGACATGAAATAACCTTTTCTACATTTAAAATTGACAAACAAAAGCTAGGTTCGGCTATTCAGCGCGGAGTTGGAGTGGCGTGAACAGAGCTAATGGAGTCACCCCTAATACGGTAAAAAGCAATACCCGAACAGCTGGAGTGCGAATGGAGTCACTCGGAGTGCACGGAGTGAGCAAGCCGAACCCACCTAAGAAGCACAACTTGAATCGCAAAAATCCCATCGAGGCCTGCGGATGACTATGAGCTGCCATGATGCTGCTAATAGTGGTGACGTCACTCGCAGGCCTTGCCGACTCGAGAATTGGCGAACGTACGCCTTAAGAGGATGAGCAATCCTGTTAGTTTACAATTCTTGGGAATATTATTTATTAAAACTAAACATTTATAATGTAATCTAGCTTGCATAAAATTTTGTATTTATGCCGTGAAGATTTTAATTTGGACAAATATTAGTGATAATCGACAACTTTGATGTCAAATATTGAATTACATTTTAAACAGCCAATGAGAAAGCTCTATTTATGTTCTCGGAACCTCAGAAGATCGAGTGAATTTGACGTTTGAAGTCGGTACGTAGTCGGTATAGAACGAAAATCGTTGAGAATCGCCTTTCTACGAGTGAGTCGGGACGTTACGTATCGACTAGCGATTGAGAATCCCACTGCAGTGCATAGAAAGTACCTGCTAGGTAACAACCAGACACTTACCAGTTGGTCCATAATTTGGCTCTTAGCAGTTTATCAAATCTTGTTTACTGCATAGAGAACTGATTTATCAATCTGACATGATTTTGACATTACATGTGTGTCAAAGAAGTAAAATGGGCACCAGGTTGAAGGAAAACGTTTGGTAGCAGCGATAAGAGCGGATAATTCTGTAATCTCACAAAATTATTAAGTGGAAACTAACCGAGAAAAAAATGTGTAATATTTGTGACAAGAACAAAATTTACAAGGTTTTATTGTCGGAAATTATAGAGGAAGATGAAGATTCCCTATCTTCCAACCCTGAAGACAGCTTCTTTGAAGTAGTTTTTAAATATTATTGCCCCCTCCCCATTGTGCACTTGTTACACCTCCTCTTGAGGTAGTGCAAGATTGGGCACCCTACAGTGAAATAACAAACGCCTTACACTATTTGCACTAACCTTAGTACAAACGCCTCGGTGCAGAAAAGTGTAAATTATTGTGCACTAGTGGAGGATAACAAACAGACCTATTGTGTGCCAATTGCAATGATTCTCACTGTACATTGATGCAATGATATCTTAACACAGATAGACACCACAACTCATTTACAAACTGATGTTTGTTGTGATGACAAGACCCTCATGGGCCAGGAGAGGTGAGCTGCTCGAGGGGGGTCATGGTAAACAACACCCTCCTTTCCCTTTGAATCCATTCTCAAGTAAAACTTGTGGTGTGAAGCCTCTAGATACTAAGTCTGCAGGGTTCATATCAGTTTTTTTAACGTGATTCCAATCAGATTTATTCGTAAGGGATCTTATCTCACTTAACTCTGTTGGCAATGAAAGTTTTATAAGTTGAAGTGTCACCCCCCCAGCCAAGCTAAAGCTACTGAAGACTGAAGAGTCATGCCGATTTCCATTTGCAGCATTAGTGCAAAAAAAAATTGCCCCTATCCTTCTATGTCACATTCTTTTAGAAAAAGATGTGAATACACTCAGTGCGCCCTAGCAGGTACTTTCTATTCTCTAGTGTATAGAAAGTACCTGCTAGGTAACAACCAGAAGTTCACCAGTCAGTCCATAATTTGGCCCTGATGGCGATTTCCATTTGTCAATCAGTGCGCACTGAGTGTATTCATATCTTTTTCTAAAAGAATGTGACATAGAAGGATAGAGATTTTTTTTTTTTTTTGCACTAATGTGGCAAATGATGGAAATCGGCATGACTCTTCAGTAGCTTTAGCTTGGCTGGGGGGTGACACTTCAACTTATAAAACTTTCGTTGTCAACAGTTAAGGATCAGTTGGTCCATAATTTGGCCCTCAGTCCAAGAGAATTGTCTATTAAAATTTATGCCAAGAGCTTCCCTGACCTTTTTAGCTAAATTTGCTAAGCAACACGCATGCCGAAAACTGAAGTCAAGGTAAGCTTATCGTATGTATTGGGGCCACTCT